CCCCCAGCAACTGGGGAGGGAGGGGGGGGGGTTGTCCCCATGTGGTCCCCGGTGTCCCCTGGGGGACGGGGACTGAGTGGGGGTGACCGATGGCACGGCCACCTTGGTGACATGGAGGGATGGGAGGGGGTCAACAGCATCAGGGACCAGGACACTGTCCCCAGGGGGGTGGGGACAAGTTTGTGTCCCCTTGGGGTCCTCAGCACATCGGAGACCAGGACACTGTCCCCAGGGGTGTGGGGACAAATCTGTGTCCCCGTGGGGTCCTCAACACATTGGGACAAGGACACTGTCCCCAAGGGGTAATAGGGACAAATTCATGTCCCCAGGGGCATAGGGACAAATCCGTGTCCCCTTGGGGTCCTCAACAGTATCGGGGACATGGACACTGTCCCCAAGGGGTAATAGGGACAAATTCGTGTCCCCAGACGCATGGGGACAAATTCGTGTCCCCTTGGGGTGCTCAACAGCATTGGGGACCATGACACTGCCCCCAGGGGCGTGGGGACAAGTTTGTGTCCCCTCGATGGTGCTCAACACATCGGGGACCAGGATGCTGTCCCCAGGGGGGTTGGGGACAAGTTTGTGTCCCTTTGGGGTGCTGAAGAACATTGGGGACCAGGACACTGTCCCCAAGGGGTAATAAGGACAAATTCGTGTCCCCAGGGGCATGGGGACAAATTTGTGTCCCCTTGAGGGTGCTCAACAACATTGGGGAGGAGGACACTGTCCCCAGGGGGGTGGGGACAAATTCATGTCCCCTTGGGGTACTTAGCAGTATCAGGGATCAGGATACTGTCCCCAAGGGGTGTGGGGACAAATCCGTGTCCCCTTGGGGTCCTCAGCACATTGGGGACCAGGAAACTGTCCCCAAGGGCATGGGGACAAATTTGTGTCCCCTCAAGGGTGCTCAACACATTGGGGACCAGGACAATGTCCCCAGGGGGGTGGGGACAAATTTGTGTCCCCTTGGGGTCCTCAGCACATCGGGGACAAGGACACTGTCCCCAGGGGCACGGGGACAAATTTGTGTCCCCTTGGGGTGCTCAGCACATCGGGGACCAGGACACTGTCCCTAAGGGGTAATAGGGACAAATTCATGTCCCCAGGGGCATGGGGACAACCTGATGTCCCCTTGGGGTGTTCAACACATCGGGGACTGGGACACTGTCCCCAGGGGGGTGGGGACAAATCCGTGTCCCCTTGGGGTCCTCAGCAGCATCGGGGACCAGGACGCTGTCCCCAGGGGGGTGGGGACAAGTTTGTGTCACCTGGGGGTTGCTTAACAGCATTGGGGACCGGAACACCGTCACCTGGGGGACATGGGGCCGCGTTCGTGTCCCCTCAGGGGGGGCTGAACAGCCCTGGGGACGGGGGCCACTGACCCCTGGGGACATGGGGACAAGTTGATGTCCCCTGGGGGTGCTCACCGCGCCGGTGGGGAGCTGCTCCTCGGCGAAGAGCTTGGGCAGCACGGCTGTCAGGGACGCATCCTGCGGGGACAAAGGGACAGCTGA